TTGAATATAAAAATAGATATTATTATTTATCTTTTCTCAGCTTTAACTAAACGTATCAAATTAAACCAAATTTTATTTTGTATCTACAAATAAATGATTTCTTTTTCAAACATAAATATTAAACTACTAAATAAATCAAAATTTCGTTATTAAATTTAATAAAATTGAAAACAAGATGCGCGAGTCATATTATAAATATTCATTTATTTCATATCTATTCATATTAATTGTAGTTTTAATGTATAACTCTAAATTTATATAATATTAAACACAAGAAATTAAGTAAAATCAAGAAAACTTAAAAGTTAACATCATTATTAATAAATGACGAATGAGATAAAATTATAATCAACTTACTAACTCAAATAATGTACTAATGAAACTAATTACAATAATATAATTTTGGATGTTGACAAAAAAAGTATATATAATTTTGAATTGGAGAAATATGGATTTAACTATGAACACTTAGATTAACAATGATAAAATTTCATCGAAAGATACATAAGCTGACTTTAAAATTTTTTTAAAATTGAATGTTAATTGTATTGAAAATAAAACAATTTAAATAATATAAAAAATACAAGAATATGAAAGATTTGATTTGTACTCCTAAAATAACTTTTAAGATCCAAATATTATATTTGAAGTTCACCATTTCAAATTTTAGAATGAATTTCTAAGTTTTTTAGTATAAGAACTCTCTCGAAAATAAATGGTCGTGAGATTGTCACTGAAGTCGTTTCTTTTTCCGTGAGGTTTACAAATTACTTATGTGGCTGTAAACGATTTTAAAATTAAAACAAATATATTTGTAATCAGTTATTTGTATTATTATTAGTTCAAATTTAAAATTTCACGCAACGCGTGGGTATAAATCTAGTGGTGATTAATTGAGGAATAGTGACTTTTGAATCGTCATTTTTCTTCTAACATCTTCTATATTTTTTAAATTTGTATTGTAAAAGTAACTTTGAACAAAAATAATTTTTTACGTTAATTGTAAAACAATCAATACAAAATTCATTCTTATCTATAAACTCTTCTTACTTTTTTCGTGTTCTAAAAGTGCTTTTTAATTTATTACCAAATAAAAAAATAAGATTAAACATTTAATTGTTGACCAAATAATATATTTTACTCTTGGTTTTGGTTTTAAAATTCAATT